TTTATTTGTGATATTCTTTGTTCTGTTTTGCTGCTGTGTCAACCTGAAGAGCGATCAATAAAGGAATATCTTATCTTTCTTGTTTTCATTAAATGTGAGGAGGAACCTGACTGGTTACATTTATACATAAATTATAATGAGCAAAGTATTTTCTTACTTGTAGCAAAGCTGCAACAATTAGTCCATTAATTAATTGATTGTCTAATAAATTAAATTCTTTACTCCTCCTTCACAGTAAACTGAATGTTGTGGATGAATAAAGACGGTGAGGGCCTCTGCAGTGCTTTGTATTTACTCTTCTCTACAGTTTCTGTCTCATCTTTATAAATTTGTGAAACTATAAAAAAAGCTTTTGTTTTTAGATCCGTAACAAACGTAACACAGACGGACGTGCAGATGGTGTCAGTGATGGCTGCAGGTGAGGCTGACTTCCCGCCTTAATGCCTCAGACTGATGTTTGTGTGTCAGAAATCTAAAATACTGTGTTCCCGTTGGCTGACCGGATGTTTTGTGTTGGTTTTCAGCCTCGTTTGTGTTTACTTTTGGCTGATTTGCTGTGTTTTGTTCTTGTGTTTTGTCCTGAGGAAAGGTGTGAAGACTGAACGCCCTCTGGAGCGTCTGTGGATAGCTTTTGGCTGCGATTTGTGAAAGTGACATCTTAAGTTTCACGGGTGGTTAAGAGGAGAACCGCATTAAATTGGATTTGAGTTTAAAGATATTCAGGGAAGGCTGAGCGTCGCAGGGAAGAGACAAACCCTGCGAAGGTCTCAGTTCTCCTCGTCACATTCCCTCTGATATTTTCTGCCGTTTGTTTGGACGAGGCGTTGAGAGTGTCGTCCTAATGATGCACGGATACGGAGGAGGAGTAATGGGTTTATGTGTGCTTTAAAAAAGAAAATACGAGGTGGAAACTTTGAGCGTAATTCTGAATGTCTGTCTTGTATTGAGCCTTCTTATGTTTGTGTCTTTAGTTTGCTGAATAACAGATACCTGGCATGTGAAGAGCGACGTTCAAGGTCACAAAGTGTCGGAGCACACGGCATTTATAAAGTCACAGGATGTTGTTCCACAGATATTCAGACTCTGTTTGTCTTTCCCTCACATCTGAATGATCCTCAGAAATAATCCAAAAATGTCGTTTGCTTCTGATTTCGAGCAGCACGGTTCAGATGAGCTGAGGATGAGGAGATGAGGAGTGATTCCAGGTAATGACTTTAGAAATGTGTCTGATCAAAAGGATTCATTTTCAGAAAGCGTGAAATGACCTCGGCACAAATCATCTGTGTGTCTCTGAGCTCAGTGAGGACGATTGTGGAAGGAGTGTGGACAGACAGACAGACAGACAG